TCGGAAGAGAATTCTCCTTCGAACTTATTCCCATGGAGATCCAGATATGTCAGATAAGACAAGTTTTCCAATGACGTCGGTAAACTACCCTCGAAGAGATTGTTGCTGAAGTTCATACTCTCAACTTTCCAAGCAAAGGATCCAGAGAAGAGCTTGTCTATACCACCCGAAAACCTGTTCTGCTGAACATAAATTCCCACAAGGTTGAGCATCTCAGACAAGGCTAAAGGGAGCTCACCACTTAGCTCGTTTCGGCTCAAGTCTAAGTGGGTAAGCTCTTTCAAATTCCCAAGAGAAGCGGGAACCGATCCATCCAGCTTATTCCCGGTTAAGTTCAGCTTCACTAAGCTACTCAAAAGGCCAAAGCTTTGGGGTATATAGCCAGCGAGTCGATTGTTCCCCAAGTTCAAGCCCTGCAGTTGAGGAGTGTTACCGATCTCCTCTGGGATAGAGCCGGTAAGGGCATTTCCAGACAGATCCAAAGTTGTGAGATTCATCAAACGAGAGAGGGATGTCGGAATCTCCCCAGAAAGCTGATTGTTGTTAAGCAGAATACCCACCGCAACCACACAGTCACCAAGTTCCTGAGGTATATGGCCAGTTAACCTGTTGTACGAGAGATCAAACACTCCATGGTGCTGAACAAAGATCAGATCAGGCATATCGGTCTGACGGAAATAAGTGGAAGGCTTCGATGGAATCGGTCCAGACAGATTATTGTGGGAGAGAACCAAGCACTGTAGCTGAGACAGACCGGTGATTTCATCTGGAATCGACCCATCAAGATTGTTGTTGCCAAGGTCCAAGGTAGTCAGTGAAGAACAATTCCCAAGCTCGATTGGCATCTTCCCTCCCAAAATGTTTGAATTCAGGTTCAGGAATGACAAAGACGTAAGCTTTCCAATCTCTCTAGGAATTTCGCCCTTCAGCCGATTATTACTGAGAACAAGTCGCTCCAGTGAAACTGCACTCCCAATCTCTGCTGGCAAATGACCTTCTAGATGATTGTAAGAAGCCGAAAACTCCATCAAGTTCTCTGATTTCCAGAGGTTCAGGGGAATTTCTCCGGTGAAGTTGTTAGTGTCCAAGTCAAGTGCCATCAATGGAAGCTGAGAAAGATACTCAGGTATGGAACCATTTATCTGATTATTCACAAGAATCAACTGAGTGAGTTTCTTACACCCCACAAAGACGTCCTCGATGTTTCCCGACAGGAAGTTCCCGGCAAGATCAATGTCCAACAACGAACCCGAATCACAGAGCTCCCCTGGGATGGTTCCAGTTAGCAAGTTGTTACTCAAACTGAGATGCTTCAGCATTGGAGAGTCCCCAAGCTCACGAGGAATTTCCCCTGTAAACCGATTGCTCGCCAGCAGAAGCGAGTCCAGCTCCTTCCATTTGCCGATCCAAGAGGGTAATGGACCTGAAAGCTGATTCTTTTCTGCTGAAAATGTTAGCAGAGGAATCTCTGATAGCTCAAATGGCAGTGACCCAGACAGAGAATTGAAAGAAAGCATCAGTGTCTTCAGTTTCTTGCAGTTCCCGAGCTCCGGCGGAATCGACCCATTAATCTCGGCGTAGACCAGATTCAGGATGCTCAGATTCTGCAACTTCCCGATGGATTTTGGGATCGAACACTTCAATGGGTTGTGGGAAAGGTCGAGTTTTGTCAAGTTGTGGAGCTCAGACAGCTCGTTGGGCAGTGGTCCGGTTATGGAGCATGAGGGGGCGAGAAAATTCTCGAGCGACGAGAGGTTACCAATGTCCGGCGGGATCGTCCCGGAAAACATGTTCATGCCCATGTAAAGATCCGAAAGGTTGCTCAGTTTTCCGATTTCCGGAGGGATTTTACCGGAAAATGAGTTGTTCGATATATCAAGGGAGGACAACTCCGGAAAGCTGGAGAAGAGAGCCGGGGGAAGGGAACCTGAGAAATAGTTGTCGCTTAGGTCCAGATACAGCAGCTGAGTCATCTCACCGAGTCGACTCGGGAATGTTCCTGTCAGTGCGTTGCCGGAGAGATCGAGGGTCTGAAGCCGTTTCAGTCTCCCGAGCTCCGGAGGGATTTTGCCGGAGAGAAGATTGGGTCCGAGTTGAAGCGATTCGAGCTGTGTCAACACACCGATTTCAGCTGGAATCTCCCCGGAGAACCGGTTTCCGCCCAGAGAGAGCTGTTTCAGATCCTTCAACCTGGAAATCCCCGGCGGAATCTTACCGGAGAGAGAATTCTCTGACAAGTCGAGAACTGCAAGAAACCGAAGGGAGAACAGAGAAGGAGAAAGACGGCCTCTGAGAAACATTGCGGGGAGCGAGAGCGAGTCGACTCGCCCGAAACGACACGTAACGCCGACCCAGTCGCAGTGAGAAGACACTGGAGCCGTCGTGTTCCATGCGGAAAGGACTTGCGGGTTCTCAAGCGACAGTTTGAACGAAACAAGGGCGTGTATTTCTGAGCTTATTTCATCCACGGTGGCCAAGGCAGAGAAGATCAGAAACAGGAACGGGAAGAAACGAAGCAAAAAGGCGGGAAACGCCATAGCCGAAGACGGAGAAGAAAAGCCCGACAAAAAAAAGGTAGTTTTAGAGAGGAAGAGACGTTATAGAAGAGACAGAAACTGAGAAACCAACTCAAACGCCATTACGTAGAAGAAAGAGGACGCTTTAGCGCCATAGAAGAAGTAGAAGAAGAAGCTACAAAAGCGAATGGAGAGAGAGGGGCGAAGGGGGGAAAGTAAGGCACGCATCTCACGTGACCTAGACCGTCGTTATAAAGTTCGTAAGTCGTAACCGTAATATAATTATTTATCATTAATTCTCTCTCTCTCTATATTTATACATGGTGAACTCAGCACAACTTTGATGGAAGTTTCGGTTCGGTTTTAAAGAATTAAACCGAAGCAAATCGAAAAATATGGTATTTTTCGGATCTAAATCATTTTAAATTTTCAAATGATATTAATTTTAGAAAACTGAATTTTCTATAACCAAACCAAATTTTAAAAAATCCCAAAAAATTGAAATTTTTTAAAAGAAATCTATTTTTTAATAAAAACCGAAACTGAAATCGAACCGAATATAATATAAAAACCGATTGATATTTATTTTTATAAAACCGAAAAAATCGAACCGATACATTCTCATCCCAAACCCAAACCAATTCTCGAAACGTCCATCTCTGATAAAAAGACGGAATACGGAATATATGTTTTTTATATGATATAGAATTCAAATTTTATGAACACTATCATGGTTAGAAAAATTCAGTGATACAAATATTTATCATTTGTTGTTTAAATATAAAACTGAATTAATTTATAACTATTTTTAATAATAATTAGGCATTTTAAATTAAGCTAAAGAAATATTAATATAAAGATGAAATCCATGATACTTAAATATGTTTTGAAAAATAGGATTTTGTTTTTATAGTTGTTGTGTAG